CTATGGATAAAAATAAGCGAGGGGGTATACTTTAATGAAAAGCAACCCAGCACTCAAATCTAAACCAGAAAAGGTGAGGTCAATGTGAGGGCTTCAAGGATTGATAGATATCTTTACGATACGTAAAGCAATGGATTATCCCAACCAAAGTCTGAAACGAAAGGAAAACTTCAGTTGATAAATTTCGTGTACCCGAAGCGCTTTTCTGGATTTACTTTTATCAGGAACGCTCAAGCCTGATTACTTAAAAGTCAGAAATGTATAAATACTTAGAATGGTTAGGAGCTATATAATAAACCGACAACGCCATGGCAAAAAAAGAAAAAGACCAAAAGACAGTACACAAAACACAACATAGGAAACTAAAGACCGCGAATCACGAGCCCCACAAACAACCTTGGGTGATTTCAGCAGCTCCAGAAGTATGAGCCCATCCCGCTTTAACTGTATCAGAACATAAGTTAAATAAAGACTGCGACTTGACATTAAATTTAATAGATTTATGAATCAAGTTCCATATATTCCTCGTTGAGTACCGCTAACAGCGCATCTATAACGTACTTTGGTCAAACGGTACATATTTAACATAAAACATCAAAGACATGCTAATACACAAATATTTAAAATTCACAACATCTACCTGTAATGATTTGAAATACATTGATGAAAATCAAGCTAGTCTAATGATGCATTTCAACGATTTCAAAATTCAAATACTATGTGATAAATTTTAAGTTTAAATGTCAATTCGAATGTTCACAAATTGATTTTAAATATATCTATACCATTATGGATGGTTGATAGCTCCATAAAATGGGAACACCCCGTGGGCCTTTTGATAGAATCAAATTTATAGATTGATATTTTTGAAAAGATGTAGGTCGGTTGTATATTATCAATTCACAACTATGTTTACGTTTTTGGCACTGTTTTGTAAGCGTCTGATTTGACAATATTTTGCTATAATTTTGTTGTAAGTTTGTTTTCGTTCAAACTCTATATAATTAGCAATATTTTACAATATTTTGTAAGCTCATTTTCGTTCAGATTCTATATTTAACTCAAACGTTAACTTAATAAAATATGCACGATTTAAAAGATATCAGGTTTTAAATATTTTGATAGATATTAAAAATATAAAGAATATTACTGAATATGAACGATAGTTTAAAAACTATCTGGCAAAAATCCCCAAGAACAGGGATGTAAACAAATACACGTCAACAATGATCAAAATCCAAAAGCGTTCCGAAAGGTTCTTAAAAATAACTAATGAAAATAATGATATATGGTGCGTCCGAAGCGAAGCCAATGGTGTATCAATACCTGAATGCGTGAGGAGCTATGTGACGTCAGACCAAAAGGGACATAAGAAGAATAGTTAAATTCATCTAAGGTCAACATTGTCTGAGGAAGTTGGTGAATTAAAAAAGAAATATGTTATAAATCAAGTCAGAAAAGAAGCACCGACGATTAAAATGATGGTAACGACCAGTAATATAATTTGAAAATACCACTTTATTAATTTGTTGACAGATAGGGATCCAGAATTTAAGAAAAAAAGGGGGTGGGGCTAGATAACGATAGGAATAGAACATTTAAAAAGTCTACGCATTTACCATATATGTAGTACAATAAAAGGGACCCCGGCTCTAAAATCTGCCTCTGGTGGACACGGGAATTCAACAACAAAGATAGAAACGAAAAGAATACCGTGAAAGGCATTCTGCAATGTTTTCCCTATTAAGAGTTTAAAAATTAAAATTCATTATTTTTTTTCAGGGCTCGAGTGTTAGCCCAAAGATCGATTTGTTCAATGAAGAATAGTGACATGACATATTCAACTAAATAGGCGCAACGGATTAAACAACACACCTCGAGACTATAAGTAAACAATTATATATCAACACTTAATCATGTTGATGTCACAATTGTGACTATTCACACCCAAATTAAATTTTTAAAGAAATAGTAATATACGGCAAGCTACTTATTGCAAATGATTCCTCTCAAAAGACTCTAGAAGTCGACACAGTAGTTTGTTCCATATATGTGCATTAAAGAATACGTGAGGTATAAGTCAATGAGACAGCAACCCATTGGCGATACAAAAACAGCAATCCATTGGCGAGACAAAAATAAAAAAAAAGACATCTAGATGGCAACATACTAGGTCTTCAACACTATGACAGGCATTTCTATAAGTACCAACGGTATCAAGTAACAAGTACCTCCCTCTCAGAGAGAGAGAGAGAGAGAGAGAGAGAGAGAGAGAGAGAGAGAGAGAGAGAGAGAGAGAGAGAGATACCTCCCTCTCAGAGAGAGAGAGAGAGAGAGAGAGGTCACGGAGGGACAAATTATTAATTTAAGAAAACTGGCCTCTACAACTTTTCTAAGCAGATTCTAGCATTATGTTTAAATAGATAACAAGAAATGGCAGTTTTTCTTGGGATTGTGATTTATTTTTGCATTATTTTATTGTTCATGTATTACTAGCTTGCCTTTAGGGATTGCTACGAGAGTATAACCTCTTGGGCTTCTATGTATTGTAAATATTCGCAGTAAATTATAATCAGATATGTCTTAACTATACCTGGATTATAGTTTGTACTTATAATATATTCATCTGATCATGTTATAAAAGATGCAAAAAAACATTAAAAAATATTGATCGGGTCAGTATTAATGTGAGATACAGGCAATTAACACATCGGATCACAATAGCGATGGATATAACTTAGTGTAAATGAACGGATTTTAATTGCTTTCCGTCATCGATTATTATTTATAGATTTCAGTATCATGTTTTGCAGATTGCAATAAATCCTTAAATAACCCAACTGATGGCAGTTTTCGTGGAATTGAAATTTGTATTTTGATTAATTTTTTTGTATTACGGCTACAGGGATATTATAACGGGAGTGTAAGGAGTGCTGGAGAAATTTAATGATTTTGTTATTTTTAACAGCATTTTAGCATTTTAAAGTGGAAATTATACATCTGGCCAAAAAATCAGGCTTGAGTTACATACAATACTGATATATCATTGTTTTCATCTTTTTAATTGTTTTAATATCTAGTTTCACATTTTCTTACATCTGAAAAAAAAAGAATTGTGTTTTCAAGTCTTGACCGTCTTCTTGTAGTTTTATCTCAGTTTCTCAGTTGTAATTTCATTTGTTTTGAGAAAACGGAAAAAGTGAAAGTACATGTAACTAATCGTCATGCACCAATAACATATATAACCTTTGAACAGGTGACGAGTGAAATATATATTACACATTGTTTTTGATTTGCAATAATGGACCTTTGTATTTGCTAAACTGAGTTTAGCAAAGTCTTTCCGTTCAAAAGTGATTCAAATTACCATTATAAGATATCGCATTTCCTTCTGTTTAAGGTCAACCCCTTTAAGGTCAAATGTTTTAAAAAACACATCTGCTATATACTCAAGATGTTGATTATTTAAATGTGAGTAACTGTAAGTATTATCGTGACAGGATGAAAAAAAGTAAATCAAATATTCTGTGTGGTAAACCGTATTGATATACACTGAACATGTACAGACCGGAGCAGTTTCCGCCTAAGAACATTTAGTATACACCCAGTTATTTTTTTTTGTTTGCTTGTAAAAATGTGGCGCCTACTTTTTAATCAAGATTTGTTTCCCTATGTTAGTCTACAGGAAAATAAGCTTACAAATAATTATAATTATAAAATCAGGCCGTTAGTTTTTTCTCGTTTGAATTGTTTCCCATTTGTCATTTCAGGGACTTATGTACAAATGTATATAATGAGGTATGGGTTTTGCTCATTGTTAAAGGCTATACGGTGTCCTATAGTTGTTTTACGTCATTTTGTCGTGATGGAGAGTTGTCTCAATGGCAATTTTACCACATCTTCTTATTTTCATATTACGTCATGTTTCCAGTTCCATATTGTGAATACTTTAACTCAAATCGATTACACACTAGTTGAGTGCATTGCATATTTTATAGTTTAATATCGCTATTGTACATTACAGTTCAAAGATGGCTTTTTAAATAGATTGAAAAGAGATAATTAGAATTTAGATCGATTTTTGATAACATTATATAATGTGTTTAAAAAAACCCATATTTAATTATTATACAATTTTAAAACATTTCCTTAGTTTCATACCAGTAGCATAATTGAAAAGAAAGTTTTTTTTATGTCTTAAGCCGGTTTGAACACTATTAATTGATAGATGTTGTTCGCTCTACATCTGTGCATTGAAAAACACAGATTTTGGATAAAAGCATGTCCATCTTTCATTGGAACCTAGCCTTACTGTTCATGCAACAACTCTTTGAGGAGTCCGTATCAGGGGCGGATCAAGCCATTTTTAAAAGGGCGGTTTTCAACCCAGGATAAATGGGGATCCCCATTCAAAAGCATTGCTCGTCAAAAAAAGGGTGGGTCCATCCCTGGACCCCACCCCTCCCTGCTGGATCCGCCACTGTACGAGGCAGCCTGTTGCGAGGCGAAATTTTTGTCCCTATCCAATATACCATAATTTTCCAGTGGGAGTCCAAATTTCCCTGACCTTCATCCCGGACGACTTCTTTTACAGGACCTACCTATTATTTTTATTGTTAATATGTTTCGCCCTGAACATGCATGGACTATTTGCCACTGGACATTAATCAACCAACATTCAATCCTTGTGAATAATCAGGAGATTTACATATTTTCACAGCACTGTTGAAGTAGACTAATACGGAGCTAGTTCTGTTTACTTCGTCTTAAAATAATGAATTTAATTAAACTTAAGCAATGTTAGTGCGTTCAACAATCATATAAGACTATGTCAGTTTCACACCGCTGTACATGTGTCTCTCTTATATTTAGCTTCATTTTCATAACTAAATTTACATATATTGAGCACTGTGTGAGATAAAAGATTCAATTAAAAATAGAGATATTTTGTAAACAAATCGAATTATTCAATATTGAATATTTACTTTCGCTTCACTTACCTTCAGAAAATCCAATTAACAAAAATATTCCAAACAAACTTAAAACACAAATCAATAATTTCTCCATTGTTTTTCAATAAGGTAATCCAGTGATGTACATTTTATTCTACATTATATCTATTTCACTATAATCCCCAATGTCAATTTCATATGAATTACAAAACAGGAATCTTGATCGTAAAATAACCCTCCACGCCTGAATGATTTCCAATAATAAAGTGGTCACGAGTTAACGGTATATAAACCTAACAAACTAATATGGTTAAATATGTCAGTATACATTTCAAACAAAGTGAAACAATAATGTTTGTTTGTTTCAAAGATTAAATCACAATGTTTTCCGTTTTAATAAGCTAATAAGCTTATCCTACTGCCGAATAGACCAAGTATTGTTTGCTTTTTAAAATGAGAAAGTTATGAATATATTGGTTTAGTTATACAAGAAGGTTTCAATTGATGAATTTTAAATATTTAAATGTACTGTTTTTGTGATTCAGTACAGGTTCGTGCAAGAAAGAAGATGTGTATTGGTACATTACAAACATGTAAATTTGAATCGATTTTATTTAATACTATAGTAGACGGTTTATTTACATGTATTTTATAAAATTTCTTTCTAGTGCGCTCTTGCAGAAGCAGTTAACATTATATAACAAAGCCAACTTCACTTAGAAAAGAAGACAGAAAATTAGGGTCTAGATGGGGTTTACATAACAAAGAATAATGGACCAAGCCAAGCTCACAGAAAATGGACAAAAGAATAGACCAAACAAAAGAATAGCGAATAATGGGGTTCTGCGATAAACAAAAATAGAATACTGGTACAAAAATAGAGGATCATAGAGAAAAATGGTCTTAAAAATTGACAAATATAGAAATGAAGACCCTCCATCCAGACGCTCGTACAAGTATTACGGTTGCCTATAATTGCTTACATCCACTTCATTTCAACTTTGGTGAATAGTTATCTCATTGGCAATCATACCTCGTCTTCTTATTTTTATATTATAATTCTTTCAATTAGTTTGCACCGATAGCAAAAAATTATAAACTTTATTATTTCATATACGTGTATATTTCTTGTAAGAATGGTAACTTTTCAAAACCGCACACTAGAGGACATGTCACCCTAGTAAGACACACTATGATCAGTCTTTTCGTTTACTCCTAAATATTCGTACTTAGCGGAGAATCAGCAACTACGAACTTTCAAGTCATAAGTTCTAGCCTGCCACGGGGGAAAGGGGGGGGGGGGGGGGTCGTACTCGAAGCATTGACGTAACCATGAAGGATATCACCAAATTGGTTTTAACTCAAAGAATATGACCGCATATTTATGCTTTGCGATAAATAAGCCTGTTTAAAATTTGGAATATTTTTCTAGACACGCCCCCTTGGCAGAATTACCAAATTTTCCGATGCATTCTTTCGATCAAAATATTTCTAATGCGCTTATTTCTTTTAAATCCCCTTTTTAGGTGCCTTATCATCTTGTAAACTGGTAAGGCTTTAATCTCAGTACAAGTAACAAATGTGAGTTTTGACGATTTTGTAAGAACCACTATTTAAAAAAAAATGCTTTATTGTGTGTGTAACAGGTCAAACGAGTAATGTATGGTAAACTGTTAACAGTTGAACGACAGAGAATAGCAGACGTTCATTTTGATTATTTCATTATATGAATTAGAAAATATGACTACATTTTGAGCTAAACGTCAAGGAGACAGCAACTTAACGACACAAACAAACCAATAGACATCTGGATATAAGATAAGGAGATGTAGTATGATTGCCACTGACACATCTATCCAATAGAGTTCAAATGAAGCGGATTTGAGCATATCTAGGCTATCGCACGGCTTTAAACAATTAGCAATACCTATGCCGTATAGTCAACTATAAAAAGTCATATGGAAAAATGTGAAACCTTTAAAACGGAAAAACCTACGACCTATAGGTCCATATATAAAATAAATTAAAAAGCAATAAACGGAAAAAAAGAGACAGACACTTAAATATGTGGCGGTATTCTATTTGTATCCTGGCATTTGTAGGAAATGTTCTCGGAATCGAATTTAACGGGTTTTTTTTTACTGCCGAGGGTTGGTACCGCTGTTAATGGATTTTTAGTTCCTGAGAGTTACATCCGACCCGTAGCCAGTACACACAGTTGGCTTAAGTTGATATTGTGTTTTTATCTTTTTGTGCTCTCTAACCTTTTATATAATTTGATTTTCAAAGTGGTCTCAAGCGTGTCCGATGACCACACATATAAACACGAACTTAGCGCACAAACATCACACCGGACGTTGTTAGATAACGGATTCTATTATAATTTGCTTCCTGTTGATTTTGGTATTTTTCAGGTTGAAGCTGCCCTACGGATAACGTTTTTGAATGTTCCTAGGGACACTGGAAGATTTTACAGACGACGTTCATCAACAGGTCATTCGTACCGATATCGACTGAACGCTGGCGATTCAATAAAATTGATAAACTAAAAATCATTAAGAAAGCTTAATCAATTTCAATGGTACCAATCTGATTTGGAATCAGGATTATCATAGAAGAAAACATGAATGCGCCATTTAAATGGATATTTCGTTTTTTTAAAGTTATTTATATTCTTTTTGTGCGAATGAGACAATCAAGTCCAAGTGTTGCAATGTTTCACATGTAACTAGTGGTAATTAGAGGCCTTTGTCTCGATAAACCTTCATCAGGAACGCTAAAAACAAACAAACAGATGAAAGGCAGGGATGTACAAAATGTATAATTACATAGAAACGTCAGGAGCTAAAAATGAAACTATGAGTGTAAATGCTGAGAAAAAAACCCCAGCGAAAATGGAATAAAGACTCTTAAAGATACTACCAGGCGTATAATTTAGTGCGCGATAATAAGACTCATCAGGCGCGCTCGTATCAAACAATTGGAAGGCCAAATAAGTAAAAGTGTATTAAAAAAAAAAATACAAAAACAAAAACAAAAACAAGAAAAAAAAAAAACAAAAAAACAAAAACAAAAAACAAAAAAGTTTTGACAAATCTGGATAAGGCTATTTAGGCATGGGTGTAAAAAAATCCTTATAATGTTTTGAATGAATTTAACTTTTATTTACAATAAATTTACAAAATATATTCGTTTCAATGATATGTCATGTCAGCAAAGGAGATACATGTCAATTGGACAGCAACCCAACATATATATATGACACAAAGTTAAATGAAATGTATCTTCTAAAGATAATAACGGAGAGTAATAAACAGAATGAAGATAAAACTTGACATGATTGATTGTTGGTTGCTTAACGTCCAGTGGCAAGTATTTCATGCATGTTCAGGCTACTGGGAATGAGAAGTCCAAATAAATAAATTCTACATCGCGTATAGACACACCCTTTAGAAATTTAAAAGATCATCATAAGAATGGTATACACTAGTCTGCTAATTTCAACGGTAAATTCAACGGAAGATCGTTGGTGTCATTGCTTAATCCTGTTTATGTCTTCCCGGCATCTGACACAAACTCCGAAACAGTGGTAACGTCTTCTTTGCTAGGCTACGTCACCGCCGTTTCGGAGTTTTCATCTGACATTATATGTACACATTTGATTTGAGATTTCTAGCTTAATTTTTGGTAGTCAAGATGTTTATTTCTAAATACTTGGCAGAGAATAATCAATATACATGTAGTACAGTGTAAAAAAATGTTCACGGGAATTAAAGAAGGGTTTTTTCTAAAGTAAATAGTAAAAAAATAAGTAGATTTAGTATGATTGCAAATGAGACAACTACATGTATCCACCAAAGTTCAAATGAAATGGATGTAAGCAATTAAACGCAACCGTACGACCTTCAACAATGAGTAAAACCCAAACCGTATAGTCGGCTATATACGGCCTCCATATTTCCATAGAAAGCCTCAGCGTCAAGTCTGGAATTTGATAGCAAGAATTAGTTTTTAATGTTTTTCCGGCATCTACACCTTTTGATTGTGAGATTTTCTTTTTCTGGTAGTCAGGATCTTAATTCCTGAATATTTGTAAAGAATAGTTAATATGATAAAGTGTAACAAAATGTCCACGGGAATTTAAAAAAAATCTGGCAAAAATTTTTTTTTCAAGTTAAAAGACCCATATTACTTTCAGCTTGACACGTTTTACCTTCGTTTATAAACATTAAAATAAAAACTAATTGGAGTGTTTCTAAATAAAATCTAGAATATTGGTTTTTAAAAATTGTTTGAACCGGTTTTCTCATCCAAACGAAAATGAAATCATTCCAATTTAACACGTATAATTTGAAGGTTCTTTACTGATAATATAAGTAAGTCTAAATTGGTATATATTTGCTCTTTCAATGAATAATTACAAACTAAACTTTTGTTTTCTTATTTCAATTTAAAGCCGCTTTCAATAGAAATAATTTTCTTGCGGGCTAATTGCAAAATAATTGTATAGTAAAAAGAAAAGGGAATATCTAATTGTAAATTTTGACTAACTACATTTTTTTTTCATGTTTGGATATTGGCACATTTAGAAGGTAAGGGATAAAACAATAATTATGATGTCGATGAATTGTTGTTTCACGTCCAGTGGCAAATATCATATTCATATCAGGACAGATATATGTTAATTAAGAAATGAATGCTTCTTTTTGTAATTTTATTGAGGTTGCAAAAGTGTTGACCGAAGCACATTTTGTAAATATGTTTGCACGATCAACACTTTTACACCCCAATAAAATTACAAAAAGAAGCATTCATTTCCTATAATTATATTTTTATGCTAATAAGACCATGACAAAAAAGGTTTTATCAAGTTTTTATTTTGTTTACCTGTGCATTTTTTTGTGGAAGCACGTGTCATCACGAATGTAACATTTAATTTTGATATGAAGGTTAATTTTTGAATGACGCGCGATTGTTGTTAGCCAATGAAACTAACGGGTTCTCGTGAAACATACCTGTCATGTAATTATTGTGATATATATATATATATATATATATGACTATGAACCCTGCTTTGTTCTAGACAAGTTGCTTGTTTACAAGGTTGAACGTCCACAGGAAGAAATGTAACACTATCGGGACACATTGTTCTGATTCCGAGACAACCATTGCTCTTATTTACTAAATACCACATGGTTCGCGGAGAAGCAGTAAATACCAATTTCAATTCTTTGGTTTCTGGCCGGGGATAACACCCACGACCTTTATGCGCTCCAGGCGATCACAAGACCACCGAGGAGGTACAATTACAAAAATATAAGCAATGAAATCGAGTTTATTTTCGTACTGTTTTGTATTTTTCATTGTACAAAAATGTACAAAGGTTGTGATCCGAGTTTACATTAAAGTTTTACAAAGTTTACTTCATTCGTCGTTTTTTTATTTTACATCTCGGACCGCCAAGTTTTTAATTGAAGTCCCCCATTTAAATCACAGAACATCAGTCCACATTTTTATTATATATATAATAATATAAGTCATTCTATTATATATAATAGAATGGCTTATACAAACGTTATTGCGTTTTTAATTATAGATTAAAAAGTATGCTGTGCTTATTATTTATGTTGTTGGTGTGGCTAACCTCTGTTCAAGGTATGTGAAACATAAACTGAAAGAAAAAGAATGTGAGTAAATTTCAGTGAAACTGCCACTCCACATCACAAACAACCACGATATTCAAAGTTTAACAATCCGTATTACTCAACAGACAATGCACTATGTAATAACTCTTTGTTTAATTGTCTTTTTAATAGACATTCAAGTACCTTAAATAAATGAAGCACCCCTTTTCTTGAGATAGATCACGGATTTTTGAGTTGTGTTATATCCCCAGTTCAGGAATGCTTATTTTGCTAAGAATAACTGATAGGTTGAGTTCAAACCATGAAAACAATTTAAGCATAGTACTTCTAAGATAACTTTCATAACAAATATTTTACAGCAGAAGTACTAGCAAAAAAGTGGATACAATACTATTTTTCTTTAAACTTCCGGAGTCCAACTAGATGAATAAGATATTATAATTCAACAGGAGTGTGTAGATAGAACAGTTTAGTTCTGACAAAAACTCGTAGAGGATGTAGAAATGTCGTTTTATAGATATACTAGTGTAGGGAGATAGACCATTGCAACTGGATATCAAATATATAGCTATCTCTATTTCTATCAACAGTGGACATATAACGCTATAAGACTCACACGACGATTTGTACATCTTTCAAAATTTGTAATGTGGTTCTCCAAAAAAGAGACGGAAGATACAAATGGTACAAACAAAACTTATAAGTCGAAGAAAAACTGACAACACCATGGCAATCAAATAAGTTTATCAAAACTGTACACAAAATAAAACTAATAGTAGATATTTTCAGTCAAACAAAATGTAATTCAAGATTTCAAGAACTTGCATTATTCTAATGTTCCTCAAGACAACATGACGAATTTTATAATCGAAACGTTATAATCATGTATCGACATTTGATAATGTGCGAGAATAAAGTTAAGTTAACTTATATCCCCTAAAATTAAGTGTTAATAAGATATTATACAATTTCCATTTTTTAGCCCAATGCAATCTAGGAAAATGGGGAGGTAACTGCCAGCAAAACTGTTCTTCCTCTTGTTACCATGGAAACAGTTGCATTGAAAATGGTGGTCAATGTGGATGCATGCAAACTAATGGCACTTGCTATGAATGCTCTGCAAACTTTTATGGTGATTCATGTGATATAAAATGCGATGATATTTGTGCCCTAAATGAACAATGTGTACAGGAGGGCTTTGAATTTGCTTGCGGATGTGACAGAATACAAGGTCACTGCAACAGATGTCCAAAATCAATATGGGGTAATTACTGTGAAAATAAGTGTTCCAATAAATGCATCAATTCCGAGTGTAGCGGGATTGATGGGATTTGTACTTTTGGTTGCATAAAAGGATTTTACGGAAGTGACTGTTCTTCGCTATGTTCTTTGTCTTGTCAAAGTGGATGCGATCAGCAGACGGCAGAATGTTTCCCCCCATATTGTGTCAATTGCATTAGCGGAATGTCAGGATGTGATAACGCCACACAGAAATGTAAATCCGGATGTATTACGGGGTTTAATGGAGAAACGTGTGATAAGACATGCGCAGAAGAAACAGGCGTGTCAAAATGTACTAGTTGTAGACATATCAGTACACCTATTGTAACTCTTACTGTATGTGACGAATGTCAGTCAGGATATTTTTACGACACGTTCATCAGTCAGTGTAAGGTTTGCAGCACAGGTTGCAGTGCAAACGTGACGTCATTATCCACGTGCTTTCCCAAAACAGGAATGTGTCGGTATGGATGTTTATCAAATTGGATCGGATTGAAATGCGACTGTAGCGTTGCGAATTGTGACACTTGCGTTTATGATCAATCACAAGTATGTACTCGTTGTCAAAATGGATGGTTTGTTGAATCTGGACAATGCGTCGAATGCAGTACAAACTGCGCAGTTGCAAATGAGTGTGACACAGCTTCCGGAACTTGTACCAATGGATGCAAGAACGGTTGGTATGGTCTAAAATGTTTGCGTGCATGTGCTTCCAACTGTTTGAATGGAAAGTGTGATGTAAATGGCACGTGTACTGAAGGATGCGTTGGAAAACATCATGGAAATAATTGTGACAAAATATGTAACAATTGCAAGATATCATGTGACCAGAAGACTGGTTTTTGTGATTCTGGTTGCATAGACAGCTACCATGGTGACAATTGCCAGCAAGTATGCAATGCTACTTGCTTTGGTAATCAGTGCAATCAAAGTGATGGACAATGTTTATCCGGATGTGAACTTGGGTATCATGGGAAATTCTGTCATCTTGTCTGTGGATCAAATTGCAGCGAAAATAAATGTGATGTAGAGACAGGATCGTGCAAAGGGAACTGTTCATCTGGAAATTACGGCGAACATTGCAATTTAGATTGTCCGTCTCATTGTTTAGAGCCCCTATGTGTGAAAGAAAATGGCGCATGCTTTTCAGTATGCGAAGACGGATTTTTTGGAAGTCATTGTAATATTTCGTGTCCTGATTCATGTCCAAATAAGCAGTGCCGAATGGATAACGGAGGTTGCACTGCTGATTGTTTCGAAGGCAAATACGGCGAAAGATGTGATAAATCTTGTAGTAATAACTGTAAAAGCATATTATGCCATCACAACACTGGAGCCTGTGCCAATGGATGCAAAATTGGTTACTATGGCAATTCCTGTCAGAACACGTGTACCGGATGTGGTAGTTTAGGATGTAGTCAGAATTCCGGGAAATGCGAAAGTAAGTAATATGAAAGTCTTGATGGAGTTTACAGAATAGAGAATAATGGTCCAATACTACAGAGAAATGGGACAAAAAAATAATAGAGAAAAATTAGGTCAAATATTTAAGAATAGAGAATAAATCTGTGCTTACCTATAAAGAATACAGAATAATGAGCAAGAATTGAAGATGTGTACAGAATAGAGAATTATGGCCACAAAAAATAAAAGAATACATAAATGAAGAACCCGCCATCCAGTCCCACTTATACTTCACGACTTTGTACAGCACAGAAGTATCTGACTGCCTCTGTATAATAATTTTTATTCGTTAATTTTGACACTTTAAGCTACATACGGAAAAACGTATTGTCAACATCTATAGGTAAAATTATTCTGCGCTGATTATTGATTTTAGTCTTTTTTGTACTGATATCAGATTTAACTGCACTTTTGTTGTAAATCAATAAAACCTAATGTAGCAGAATTTTAAGGAAAGCTTTTTGGAACCCGAAAACAATTATCCAACATCAATACCTGGAGACTAAAAAGACTATTACACTTTGTAACAATCTCACTTTACATGCATGTATCTATTTTAAGTTCTCTGGACACGACAGAAGCTGTTTTGGAACTTTTGATGGATGTTGGGAATGATATAGAACGTCTTGTAAAATGTATATGGATTTTATATTAAATGATATATTACATTTGCAGGTACATCTATAAATGAAAGCAAAGATAACAACACCATCCTGATTGCCGGAATTAGCGCTGGGTGTATCATGGTCATAATATTTCTTGTTGTAGTAATATATTGGTGTTTAAGAAGGAAAAAGTAAGGATGTCATATAGAAAGAGCATTATTTGTGAACAAATATGCAATGTATCTCTAAATCTTTAAATCGGTTCGAAAAAAGTGAAAGCTCGCAAATCTAAAAACGCTTAAAGTGGAATTTTATATACTTTTGAGGAAACTGACATTGTAACGTACATTTATAGACAAGATCTTTTATTTACAAACATTTCCTTCTTTTATTTTTCGCTTAGCAGACTTACCAAACCCGTAGTTCCAAATATAGTGGTTAACTTTGAAGCATCGCGGTTGTCTTTATTCAAGATATATTATCGAATAAGTCTTTTGTTAAGCTGCAACTGTATGTCCTTTTTGGAATACACGAGTTTATCTCATTTGATAATTAAGTTCGTTTTTCTCAATAAAGTCAGATACTCAAAACCAACAGTTAAGTGATACACTGTTTGCTTAAGGATGTACACTTCTGAGGAGCCAAAAAATTCTAGAATTAAACTTTTTTTCTTAACCTGATTTTTGGGTTTATATGACTGTAAAAAAATAATTGGTGAAGAAAAAATCATATGGTGGTGCACTTCTTTTTTTGCTACGGCCATTTGAAAGTACCCAAATCTGATGATTTTCCCATTTTTCATCAATTTTTACTCATTTTTAGGCTATTATCATGAAAAAAAAATATAGATTCACATAAAACTTTTTTTCATACTTTCAATAAAGATGAAGTGGACCAATCTGAATAAATTTAACTTAAAAAACTATAGGTAGGTGTTAATATAAGAAAGTTTTATAACATTTTGTTGCTTTTTTGTGTCAAATTTATCATGCTGTCAATTTTGTAAATTTGGGATTTTTCCTTTTTTAGAACAAAAAGCATATTATTTCAACTTCTTTGTTATCAAATGGTTATAAATGATTGAAAATATACATAAATTAGAAATTTGAAAAGAAAAAATTAATATGGGATGCACATGTTTCTGGTTAAATCATTTCTTGTACCCTTCACCCATTTTCTCAACATTTTGTCTAATGGGACTGACTTGATTGGTAATACAAATTTTTATTACTCAAAAACTACTTATTGTTAATACACAATTTTTTCAACGAGTTAAGTTTGATTATAATATTTTTTAAATTCATTAATATTTTCCACTTGTATCACATGTTTGGGAAATAATTCCAGCACGAGATTTCAACGAGACTGAAACGTCAGAAGAATAAATCCTTAACGTTCAGTGACAAATATTTCATGCATTTTCAGGGACGACATACCGGAGTCGGTTTCACAAAAAAAAAATACGAATAAAATTGATGGTAGGTCATGAACAATTCAGTATACTTACGATCAATCTTAGTCGTAGTTTTTTTTTGTGAAACCGACTCCTAGGGGGAGGTGTTATTGAAAGAATAACAGACTATATTTAGTGTGGAAGCATCCGCCTTAAAAAAATATGAACTGATTTTGATTTTTTGTTAATATAGCTCTAATCTAAACGGTTTTAAAGTCTAACACGTATAAATCAATTATCGATTGTTTTATAATGAGCAGAAGTGTCAACAGGGTGGGGGAGGGAGGACATCAATGTGATGATAAATAAGTACGCTCTTCAGGTAGAGGAAACGACTTACTTATATGTAGCTAAGTTTATTTATTCTTGCTAATACAACAATGTTTTTATTTTTAACAGATCGGAAGAAAACAGTAACAATTCAAAAGACACAGGAACAAAAAGATACTCAGAGCTACCTGAAACAAGCCAACTTTGAACACATATGCTATTTTGATTTGTTCTTATTGATATTTTAAGGTGGTACCAGACTAAAATTAATTTGGCTTGTTTAATGCTCATAAAATTTTGATAAAATATTTACTTTGACCCTTTGACAAAAATATAAAAATTTCAAAAAACCACACACTTTATCGGAAAAATTTCATTGGATATATAGCAGTTTGATGAACACCAATTTTGATCATTGAGAAGCTTAAATTCTACTTAACAATAGAAAGTGATTAAAACTTTCAGATGTTGTTTTTAGAGTTATCTCCATGTAGTGTTATGCACCACCTTAATCATAAGTCTTTTGATATTTTGACTACTATAAATTCGTGTTTTACCGGTAACAGATAGAATAAGAGAAACATAATTGAAAAATGAAATACATTCATGTTCTATAACTTTGTTTCTTTACTGCTACACATCTTTGATTTAGTTGAATTTCTATCTATACATTTTTGTTTTTATTTGTTTGCAAATGGTAAGGTATTTAGAAGTATTCATCTTCTTTTTCCAATTCGCTGTGTGCGGTATGAGAGCCTGGATTGAAAATCCCCATCCTCATCCTCGGTATGCGCCACCATTCATTTGTATACGATTGATTCCAATACTCTATTTATTATCTATAGTAAGAAAATAAAAAGTTCTCTCTTACAAGACACTATGGTAAATTCTTAAGCATTTGTAAAAAAAAAAGAATGCAATAGAACTATTTTTCGGCTTTACAAACATGTATAAAAGGAGATGTTTTTATATGTCAATGCAACTGCAACAAAACAAAACAACACAACACTAGTCAAATATAGGTCAATTAAGGTCTTCAACAATAGACATGTGTCTTTCCAATATACACTATAGAGGACGAAGTCCTTACAACAGTAAGAAAATCAATATAAACATGTACTAGCGATACCAAAACTGTTAACCTATTTTTTGTACAACAGTTTCACTTGCATATTCATTTGCGCGTTGACTGAGGCTGCAATGTTATTAAAATCATCCGATTTTTCGCAAATTTGTTTATATCGCATTATAAAGAAGTATCACGAAAATCGAACGAATTTCGTGCTCTTTTATCTGCCTTGTATCATATCTTGCTCTTAACCCCCCATCCCTGAATCTAATAAAGTTGTTTATCGTACGTCCCTGTGTCTGCACCTCTGCAAAACTGGTATCACGGCGTTGAGACGAGGAGAAGTTATCAGCGACGTCAAAATATGAATGTGACCTGTAGTTGTTTTAAACTTCTATCTTATTTGATCTTTGTTGGAGAGTTTTCTCATTGGCAATCGTATCGCATCTTCTTATTTTTATATAGAACTAAAAATAAAATTCTTTTTAAACCTTTGTCACATACCCATGTGGAATCTTCGGAGGTAATGTCGATGGATAATAAGGAGCCAATTTCCAAAAAAAAAAAACTTGCAATTTTGATACTTCAGAACGATTTCATGCATTATGTATCCTATCCTTTTGTATACCATTGTGGATTATTATTTTTTTATCTTAACTTTGGTTAATATGACATTTTTTCTTAAAGTATGAACAACTACACAAGATCCATGGTTTGCGTGTTTTCACTCTAATAAAAAAGCACAATCTTTGTGGATCTATTTAACTTATTACAATTTTCTCAAATATAAACAGCTAAATTAAATGCTTATCTGAAGGAAAAATTGATTGATTAAATTTTGGTTGCTTAACGTCCAGTGGCAAATATTTCATGCATGTTTATGACAACTGAAAGTAAGACTACTCACTAAACATGTCATTGACATTGTTTTCTTTGTTGTACGCAACCGTTAATATTAGCCTCAATGTGTATTAATTGGTAAAGTTTCTGTGGTCATTCGCTGTTGGAAAATATTCATGACTAAAGATAAAATTTATTAAGAGGTAGAATAAACACAAAGTTGGACAATCGGAAAGGATAATAAGACAAATGTACACAAAGGTTTATGAAAGATGAGTTGGCTGGAGCAAACTGCAAAAGGTGGAAATGACAAAATAAGCAACATGAATTATATAATATGGGGTCTGCATTTGGGTCTTTCATTTCTATATTCTTTAATTTGAGGCCATTTTTCCCATTCTTTACTTGTTTGTCCATTATTCTCCATTACTTATATCTCAGCAAACAAATTATTTTCTTCTTAACTTTTTTGCCTATTTTTCTCTATACTTTATTTGTTTGCCCTTTATTCTGCCCTTTTTACTCATTATTCCCAATTCTGTAAACCCACCAAGACCCTCATACTTGCAATCCATGTCATTTGGACTTTGGTTAATAGTGTTTATTGGCAATACTACATGTAACATATCGCCTTAGTTCATGTAATAGTTATACACCGAGGGATAGGTGTGTCTGGATAAGAAACCCCGTCGGCCGGAGGCCGGAGGGGTTTCTTATCCAGACACACCGTATCCCGAGGTGTATAACTAACTTAAACCCCATTCTAAACCCTATATTTGTTAACATTGATTATTAAATGAATAAAAAAAAAACGATAGCCTATTTATTGACAATACCAAACCATGATTTACATGAATTTTTTTTTATTACATGAAACCCCACTAGTAACCTTTCTTTGGTTACCTTCGTTCAAACTTTGACCAGTGAGTATATTCCCGGGAGTTAGAATCCTCATTTTTTTAAAGACCAATGCTTTAGAATAGAGACATATGACTGGGATAAAAAAAAAATACTTCAAGCAAAGGAGTATTTAAAGGATAATTTTTGTATTCAAAATAGATGCTTAATTCTTTTTTTCGCTATTGGAATTTCCTGAAATGTGTTTTTTAATATCTTGAAACAATTTGTAGTGAACACTATTAGTAATTTCTTATGTTCATGCTATTTGAAAAATAATCAATTTCTATTGTTACGAATAACAATGGGCTTTGTTTGCGGGATGTAGAAGCAGGGGTTTCCAGAAACCCCGCTCGTCACACCCTGTGGTCAAAATCCTTTGTTTTTCGTAACAATAGATCTATTCAATTTACACTTGTTTCAGAAATAGAAACTATGAAGTATAACAATAGAACTGGGGTGTAAGTGCATTGATAGAAGAGACACAACTCTTGTTTATTTCCGGTTTTAGAAGGAAAGTTTTATACAAATCCTAAAATCATAATCAAGGACGACATGGACAATGCTATATAAAAACAATTTAAATTCAAGAAAAAAAATAAGATTTCACATCAATTAACCCCTTCTGTATAGCTTTCACGAGAAATTAAATTAAACCAAACAAAATGTGGACCGAATTATTGCATAACATTACATGACACATACATAACAACATCAAACATTGAAATGTATTTTTACACTTAAATTTACGAAGTTACGTCCCTTTAAATAGTACTTCCTCAAAACAATGAATGGTTCGTTGATAAAAAGAATCTTAATCGTCGTTTTAAACATTACACTGTTTGAAATAGGGACAAATGGTATGTTTTTTTTTTATAAGTTATAGGTTAGATGTGATATACCATTTTGATAAGATGATTATGTTATTTAAAGGTACAAAGTATACTTTTCTTTTTATAGTGGGGGAACTCTCCGGCTTGGTCTGCCAATAAATACTTGCTGTCATGATATAGCCAAGTGTGTTAAAAGTGGCATTAAACACCAACAATCAATCTATCAATCATCCCTTTTTAAGTGAGATGGAAGCGTCAAATGAAGCGTTCAATCAAAGATTGATTGATTGATTGTTGGTTGCTTAACGTCCAGTGGCAATTCAATCAAAGAAGATGGCTGTTGGTCCTAATTAGTGATAAGGGTATAATTGAAAAAGAGTTCGTTAATCCAAGTAGTATTAATACGTAAATGTGCAATCTTATTTACTTTAGCGTGTTAATAATTTATTCCCTCATTGAACCTATTTAGAATTTGGTTTGTGACATCAGAAACATATGCATGCACACACACATATATATATATATATATACAAAGAAGTCTATGAAACGGACCAACAGGCAAATTTAATATGTACACAATGTACCTGATAGACGATATTGCGCAGATACAAAAAAATTATAAAAGTTTAAGATTTGCGCAACGGTACTAATATAAGATGGTAATATACAAAGATGATGTTATGTATAATATATATGATATCTGATGACATTTATCACCAGCCACTCTACCAACGGAGTATTATAAAATTCTGAAATAAAAGAGAAATTAAATCTTGTGTTACTCAGCTGTGATTTCTATAAGACATGAAAGCAAACAATTCACCCTTTCATTCGTATTACTATATAATACTATATACTGTATGTGAAAGTATTTATTTCAATAAGTATGAATAAAAGAGGATCTGGATGGGTTGTTTTTAATTTCTTTATTTTCTAATTATTTAGACCATTTTTCTCTATTCTTCATTTCTTATTTTTTTCCATTATTGGGAATACTTTGTAATTTAGAACCTAATTATTCTCTACATTGTTTTCCTTATTTTTCTCTGTTCTGTATTTTTTAGCCCTTTATTCTGCACGTTTTTACCATTGTTGTCTATTATGTTAACCTCTTCCTCCAGACCTTCATAAAACAATAAGCGGGGAATACGATAATGAGATAACAATCCAACGATAGTTACAAACGAACGACATCTACAGGTTAACATACCGTCGTAAACAATAGACAATACTGGTGTTTATACAATATGTAAAATTCATCTTGTGTCGAGTTGAAAAAAAAAATAAAAAAAAAAATATCAAAGATCTGTCATCAACACCATACATGTATCTCCAAATAAAAAAACTCAAAGAAATCATATAAAAACTGACGGGGTTCCTGGCTTGTAAAAGAAAGGCGAAATATACCAGAGGGCACTCAAACTCATAACTAAAAAAGAAAAGACCTACAGACAAACAATGGTACACAAAACACAACATAGAAAACTAAAGACGGAGCAACACGAACCCCACCAAAACTGGGGGTGATCTCAGGTGCTCCGGAAGGGTATGCAGATCTTGCTCCACATGTGGCACCCGTCGTGTTGCTCATGTTAGTACACACCGGTTAATAAGTCTAATTTGGTAGATCGCATTCGGGAAAAGGGGGGACGGGATTGTAGTTACGACATCAGAAACATATCCGCTATCATCTGTGGAACGGATATTCCATAACGGTCAACCAACTTGTGATGGCATTGTAACATGTAATAAATATTTAGCGAGGTTAAACATTCTAAACTAGTTTCTAATATCTGAACCTCTTCCCCTTATATTGGTAAATTGGTTTACAAAGTAAACTAGATTCTAAGATTAAAGGAAAAAAATATATTCTAAACAGTTACTGGATCGAAGCTGAATGAACATAGCCTACTAATATGAAATCATCCAATAAAGAATAAAAATGAGACGGATTAATGTAAAAACAATCCCGATCGGTCTGGATTATCATGTGGATGTGAGAGACAGCTAGGCTATTGTAATAGTTGCCCTAAAACGCTATGGGGCCAGTATTGTGACAGGTCCTGTTCGATAAGATGCATTAACTTGGAATGTGGCAGAACTTCTGGTCAATGCACAACTGGTTGTAAAAAGGGTTATTACGGAAGTGATTGTAGTTCAACATGTCCAATTTCTTGCCAATATGGATGTGATCAGCAGACAGCTGTGTGTTTCCCATCTTATTGTGTGAACTGTAATGATGGACTACGAAAATTGAGAATGGAAATGGGGAGTGTGTCAAAGAGACAACAACCCGACCAAAGAACAGAAAACATTTATCTTCCTTTTTTAAAAAGGCAACATCGCCAAGTTAACTACTATGACGAGTCTATAAGTTTACTTGTGCCACAACGTCAAAGTGTAAATGCTCTTTTGTTCCGACGTTGGAAAGTTCAGGGCGGAAAGAACTAACTAGCCGAAAAGTTCCGGAGGAACTTATTAACTAGTTACTTTGTTCTCTCTCTGGTTTAAAAGTTCCACCGGAACAAAGTGACTAGTTGAAAAGTTCCAACGGAACATATCAACTAGTTAGAAAGTTCCTTTTTGCCGAATTAGTCAAAACCGGAACTAACAAACTAGCCCAAAAGTTCCAACGGAACTTATCAACCAGGCAGAAAGTTCCATTTGGAGAATTGATGCAAAGATAAAGCGCAACATATTATATTTGAACCTTTTAAAGGGAAACCAAGATACTGATTATAAAAGTCAAAAGGAACTTATCAACTAGCCACAAAGTTCCTCTTTGGCAAATAAGTCAAAACCGGAACTAACAAACTAGCCCAAAAGTTCCAACGGAACTTATCAACCAGTCACAAAGTTCTATTTGGAGAATTGATGCAAAGAACCACATGAGGAGGGGGGTATTCTTCCCTCTCTCGAGGGTACTATGAATATTAAATTTGCATAATAATGCAACTTATTCCGTTTTATGTGAGCTATGAAATACAACTTAAATTTTGCATATTTGTCCCCAAAGAAACCCCTTTCAGTGCGTTGGATATTCTTGTAAATTAATGATTTGCTCTTATATATACTGATACTCATTCTTCCCCCTCTTTCTACAAAAAGGACGAAATATGGTGTATTCGGAACTATGTAACTAGTTGTTCTGTTCCGCCAGAACTATTCAACTAGCTACATTGTTCCGGGACTTTTCAACTAGCTACTTTTTTCAGGAACTTTTCGACTGCACTCGGAATAAAACAACTAGTTGGAAAGTTCCATCGGAACGAAATAACTAGTTGAAAAGTTCCGCCGGAACAAAGTAATTGACGGAACATAGTGGCTGTTACAAAAGCACTATTCAAATGTCTACTCCAAAATATTGTATTGCTAAATTATGATTGCTTTCAACCCGACGACATAAAATAATGAAAACATCTAGAGGTTAATACGAATTCATTTACATTAAGCAAGTATCCGACACATGTCAAGAAATAAATGGCTTTTAGAAGTGTTATGAATACGTCTACAAAATTAAGAGATAATTAAAGATTATCATTGTTTTTATTTTAGCAACTTGTGATCTTGGTAATGGGGAGTAAGCTGTTTATACAATTGTCTTCTATGTGACATTATGGTAATTCATCTTTTACCCATGAAAAGCTTTTCCTATGTTCTTTATAACTTTTTGTAAGGTCTGAAGGTATATTAGCTACTCAACTCATTTCTGTGTATTTGTAGCTACCTGTGATTTTGGTGAATGGGGTGGAAGTTGTCAGTACAACTGTTCTACCACATGTTATTATGGAACTGAATGCTCCAGTAATGGCGGCAAATGTGGATGTGAACAATTACATGGAAACTGTTACGGATGCGCAAAGAATTATTTTGGTGACGTCTGTAATAAGGCATGTAACCAGAACTGTTCACTCAGTGACCAATGTATTCGGTCTGGATTATCATGTGGATGTGAGAGACAGCTAGGCTATTGTAATAGTTGCCCTAAAACGCTATGGGGCCAGTATTGTGACAGGTCCTGTTCGATAAGATGCATTAACTTGGAATGTGACAGAACTTCTGGTCAATGCACAACTGGTTGTAAAAAGGGTTATTACGGAAGTGATTGTAGTTCAACATGTCCAATTTCTTGCCAATATGGATGTGATCAGCAGACAGCTGTGTGTTTCCCATCTTATTGTGTGAACTGTAATGATGGACTACGAAAATGCGATCAAAGCAATCGGAAATGTTTAAATGGGTGTATAGATGGATTTTATGGTCCCAATTGTGACAAAACTTGTTCGGAAGTGACAAATAATTCTTTATGTACGAAATGTCAAGCATTGATATCTGTTGGTATTACAGTCTGTACCGAATGTCAACTGGAATATTATAATGATGGAGTAAGTGGTGAATGCAAAACCTGTAGTACAGGTTGTCAGGCAACTAACATTATTGTAGCGAAGTGCTTTCCTGACACTGGAAACTGTCGGTTTGGCTGTACAGCTGGATGGTATGGACTGCGCTGCGATACGTTTACCTGTTCATTGTCAAACTGCGAATCTTGTGTTGCGAATCAACCGACCGTTTGTGAGCGCTGTCAAACTGGTTGGTATCTGGATTCCGGTCAATGTATTAGATGTAGCGATAATTGTGCCACTGTAAATTCTTGCGATAAAACCTCAGGAACATGCACGGGTGGATGTAAAACGGGTTGGTATGGTAACAAATGTAAAGATAATTGTACCACAAACTGTTTCCAAGGTAAGTGTGATACAAATGGGATATGTACTGTAAGCTGTAATGGCAAACATTACGGTCAGAAATGTGACTTGCAATGTCTTAATTGCTTAACTACATGTAATCGTAATACTGGCTTGTGTGACGCCGGTTGTGTAGACGGATACCATGGTAACGATTGCTTACAATCCTGCAACTCCAATTGCTTTAATAATAAATGTAGTCAAGTAGATATCAAATGTTCCTCCGGGTGCAAACAGGGGTTCTATGGGGAATTTTGTCAACTTCCTTGTGGTTCAAATTGTGACAGTAATAGTTGTAACCCAACAACTGGCGCATGCTCGGGAAATTGCCTTCCTGGGAAATATGGCGATTACTGTGATTTAGATTGTTCAGCAAACTGTTCACCCAGAACATGCCTAAAAGTTGGCGGGGCATGCACGTCAGAATGTGTTGCTGGATATCATGGTAGCCATTGCAGTAGGTTATGTCCGTCCGCATGTTCAACAATTCTATGTAATAAAGATGACGGCACGTGCAGTGGAAATTGTTCAAACATGAAATTCGGTACCAGATGTGAGCTATCATGCAGTATTAACTGTAATAACTCAACATGTGATAGATCATCCCGTAGGTGTGTGGGTGGATGCCAAGCTGGATACCATGGTGATTCTTGTGAGAATATTTGTACCGGATGTGATACTTTAGGATGCGATCAAACGACTTCTGTTTGTATAGGTAAGTGTATTGAAGGAAATATGTGTAATAAAACTTGTAGCACGGGTTGCTTAAATAGTTCTTGCAAAAAATTTGTTGGTAAATGCAGCGTTAATTTTTCAAGAGGGTAATTATGGGGATACTTGTTCCAACACTTGCAGTAATTTATTTATTTTTATTCATGAACTAGGGGAATACAAAAGAAACACAAATTCTATGATACCAAGTCTTAAGTATGAAGATCATGGTTTGCTGCAACACTATATACACTTCGACATATTTTAGCACCACCACATTTTGATTAACAACGTTTTTGATAATAAAAAAAAAAGAATTAGAGTATATGATCTTTGATGAAATGACGGGAACTGTTGCAATTTTATTTCTTTTTTAATTTATACACAAACAAAAAATTCCCGCAAAAAACTGCTTTTCATGTAGCTATCTGTTTTAACAGTTGTCCTAACTCCATGACAAATATGTTGTTGTCTCGGCAAAGAAAACCCCACAAAACATCGTTTTGTGGGGTTTTCTCATTACATGAACTGCTTCATACATGAATTAGGGATTGACAATTCACTTGGAAACTCAACATATATCCCCACGACACTTACCAAAGAGGAAATCCTTGATAATCATAGGTCTGTTCTATATTCCTTTGGAATTTCAACCAAAGATGAAGATCTGGATGTTCCATCACTGTATTGAATACATGTACCTAAACTACCTTGCAAAAAACGGTATATTGCTGGGTCTTCTACGTGCTCCACGAAACCTCTTTCTAAATCATTAACATCCATTTTATCAGCAATCACAGCCGGGCTTCAAAGTTATTGTGGAACTGCCTATTTTAGAGGTGGCATGCAGCTGATGTGGATACTAAAAAATTCCAAAGATCAAACTAAGACTCTTTCATCTTGCATTAGTATTAAAACATTTGACTTTTCTATACTTTACAATAGTTATCAAAGGTACCAGGATTATAATTTAATACGCCAGACGCGCGTTTCGCCTTCATAAGACTCATCAGTGACGCTCAGATCTAAATAGTTATAAAGCCAAGCAAATAAAAAGTTGAAGAGCATTGAGGACCCAAAATTCCAAAAAGTTGTGCCAAATACGGCTAAGGTAATCTATTCCTGGGATAAGAAAATCCTTAGTTTTACGAAAAATTTAAAGTTTTGTCAACATAAAATTTACTAAAATGACCATATAATTGATATTCATGTTAACACCGAAGTGTTGACTACTGGGCTGGTGATACCCTCGTGGACGAAACGTCCACCAGCAGTGGCATCGACCCAGTGGTGTAAATAGTTATCAAAGGTACCAGGATTATAATTTAATACGCCAGACGCGCGTTTCGTCTTCATAAGACTCATCAGTGACGCTCAGATCTAAATAGTTATAAAGCCAAACAAGTACAGAGTTGAAGAGCATTGGGGACCCAAAATTCCAAAAAGTTGTGCCTAATACGGCTAAGGTAATCTATTCCTGGGATAAGAAAATCCTTAGTTTTACGAAAAATTTAAAGTTTTGTCAACAGGAAATTTACTAAAATGTCCATATAATTGATATTCATGTCAACACCGAAGTGCTGACTACTGGGCTGGTGATACCCTCGGGGACGAAACGTCCACCAGCAGTGGCATCGATAAAAGTTTTTCCCATTCCAGACTGAACGACGAATTAAAAGAGTCGGTATTGCTTTGTTTCATAAAAAGAATGGTCAACGTAGATACTAGTATCTTGTTTTAGAGGTTGCACTTTGTAAATACTGTTTTTCAAACCACACCTCTTTTGGGGAGATATATCATATTCATGGATAATTTGATTTGTTGACAAACTGGTTCCCAGATATGATTTCTAAGTGTCATCTCATAGAGACATAGCTTGGGACTGTTACCAAAATAAAAACATACTATTGCGGTGAAAAATGAATTCTGAAGTAGGCAACAAGTAAAGGTATGGGTAGTACATGATTTTAGTATAAGTTTAAACTCTAACAAGTTCGGGGCATATAAATGTTGAAAATATGCCGCACAGCCCTATGTTTTGACCTTTGAATAAAATAGTAGTGCATATCCATTCTAGGATATAATTTTTCACGAAACTTCATAGTAAAAGTGTCAAAGTGTTAGCCGCAAAGGGAGTTCCTGTGGGAAATTGTATTGTCTATATTTACAGAAATGCAACCTAGAGAGGTATAAATCCTAAGTTGTAAAAAATCACACTGATTCAAACAAAAGACTCTCTGAAACTGACATTATCAAGATGCTTGATTTCTTGATTGACATCATATTTGTTACGTTTGGAGGACGTGTTTTTCAAAAAAACTATCGGAATTCCCATGGAAACCAATTGTGCCCTCTTCTTGCCGACTTGTTCCTTTATTCTTATAAGGCTGACTTGTTACAGTTACTTCTAAGGAAGAAATAAAAGAAGTTAGTAACATCGTTTAACTTGACTTTCCGCTATATAGATGATGTTCTTTCACCTAATTTGGTGACTATGTTGAACGCATCTTTCCCATCGAACTAGAGATAAAGGATACAACAGATACAGTTAATTCTGCTCATACCTTGGCTTACATCTAGATAATGACAATGAGGGTCGATTGAAAACAAAACTTTACAACAAAAGAGATGATTTCAGCTTCCTAAATGTGAACTTTTTATTCCTATGTAGCAACATTCCAGTAGCGTCTGCATACGGAGTATATATCTCCAAATTGATACGATATTCCCGGGCTTGTATTTCCTATCATGATTTTCTTGATAGAGGGTTGCTGCTCACAAGGAAGCTATTCAACCAAGAGTTCCAAATGGTGATGTCGAAATCATCCCTTCGTAAATTTTACGGACGCCATCACGAGTTTGTTGACCGTTATGGAATATCTGTTTCACAGATGATGTCGGATATGTTCCTATGTCGAAACTTTAATCCCGTTCCCTTTTCACGAATGTGGCCTACCGAATAAGACTATTTACCGGGTTTGTAATAACATGAGCAACAGGACGGGTGCTACATGTGGAGCAGGATCTACTGACCCTTCCGCAGCACCTGATATCACCCCCAGATTTTGGTAGGGTCGTGTTGCTTTGTCTTAAGTTTTCTATGTTGTATCTATTGTACTATTATTTGTCTGTTTGTATTTTTCTTTTTTAGTCATGACGTTGTCAGTTTATTTTCGATCTATGAGTTTAAATGTCACTGATGCTTTTCTATGATTTGCCTTTATACAGTGAACTATTTTTATACCCAATCCGATTGAAAAAAAGAATCCTGTTTTTCGCTTCGCTTACACAAATTTGGCAACGCTCAGTTCTTATTTCCGTCTCTGTTATAACACCAACGAATGAAATTCTTGCATTCAAATTTTTTGAGGGGAGTATCATTATGGCAAAACCAGAGTATCCCGAACGTTTTATGAAACAGAAAGTAGAACGGAGCGTCGGTATATCCTTATAAGGGAAGGGTGGAAACATTATATGTCTTTTAATCATTTTGTTAACGTGTCATGTTTTCAAACTTAATACATTAACTGAGATAAAACTGAGAATCGAAACGGGGACAACAACTCGACCAAAGAGTAGATATCAGCCGAAGGCCACCAATGGGTCTTCAATGCAGCGAGAAAATCCCGCACCCGGAGGTGGCACTCAGCTGGCCCCTAAATAAAAAAGTCTACTAGTTCAGTGAAAATGAACGTCATACTAAACTCCAAAAGATATAAATGACCTAAAATAAAAAAAAACCAAAAAAAAAAAAACACAAGACTATCTTTCCTCCCTGTAAAAAATCAATAAAAACGAAGATTTATTTTTTTCTACTTGCAGGTAGCCAGGTTAAAAGTTCAGATGGTGCCGTTACTATTTTAGTTATTGTTTTGAGTAGTGTAGTAGCTGTATTTATTATTATTTGTTTTATATTAATTGTGTATTTTAGACGCAAAATAAAACGGTAAGTTACAATTCACAAACCACTAGATCACATTAATTTCAGTAGTTGCTTATTCTCAAGTTTAACGTTTTGTCTTAAAGTTGCAGTGATATTGAATTATTTTTAGCATATATCGGAAGAACATCGAGAGCATATGTAGAAATTTGTCTCTTGTATTTACACCCTGATATATCCTTCAAAACTTGTTTAATATAAATGTCTATACCAGACAATACCGACAAGATTTTTTGTTTTCAAATTAAATACATATAGGCTAGGACACAAACACAGATCTACATGAGATAAAATGTCAAGAGACGATCTTAGACCAAGCTTTAATTAATTAGTAACTTTAATTATGAAGCAATGCACTGTGTACTGATATACCATCTAAAATTTCGAGGCTTAAAAAACTTTGACTTTGAAAATACATTGACAGTGTACTCAATGTTGTGTTTCAAAAATATACTAGCGAACACAAAAATCAACGATACATCCATTTAATCCAAAACGACGGTTCCAACTATTAAGTGATTGCAATCAACAGCTTTGCCATTTGTCCATTGTTGTAGAATTAAGAATTGTAACGAGGAATGGGTCAAAGAGAAAACAACCCGACAAAAGAGCAATCAAAGGCCACCAATGGGTCTTCAAAGCATCAAGAGAATCCCAAAACCCGAGGCGGTCTAAGGCCTGCCCCTTAACAATAATGCATAGTAAAATGTTACAAGTTTGATATAACTGTCGTTACAGTGTAAGTCCATGTTGTGAAAAACACATGGTAATCATTTTTATCGAATTTTGTACTCGATTTGTGTGTTGTTAATTCTAATAAACGCATTAGATGACAAATGATAGTTTCATTTTTTTTTAACAGACCTGATTACGAAACTCCCACAGCAATGATTGACAGTCATATATACTTCACCACAGATTCCATAGACAGTCACGTATATATGGAGGTGAACGATGTAGCACAAATATCCACATAGCTTATTGCTTAAATGGAAGATTTCCTTACTATTAGAGAAAGCTTCTTAACAAAACTCCAGCTAGCAAATTGGATTGTTATCCTAGAAGACAAACAGATATAATTGGTGCATTTTTACCGAATGTCTGTAGTATTGAAAGTTTCAGCGTGCATATGTAACAGTAAATATCAAAATTTAAAAATTAATTTTGAGTTTGAATAATAAAAACATGCCTGCAGATTGTGTTTGGCTTTGAGCTTTCTCGAAGAAGTAAACACAGAAATGCGTTTTATAAAATTTAGAACGTGTTGTCGTTATTTTTAAGCAACGTCCGACCTTTAAAATAGTGGATAAAGTCCATACTGTATAATCAGCTATACAATTTCATGATTGACAAAATGCCGAACAATTTAAACAAAAATTCAATTGCCTGATTTGTCACAAATCAATAAACGAAAAGTAAATATAACAGACAGCAAACGACGACAATTACTGAATTAGAGGACAAAATATTACTGATCCAGGAGTACTCATAATAACCCAATAATTTTGGGTGTAACACGTCTTCATATTGGCTGAACATGTTTTGTCTATCAGTTCATATTTATAATTTTATCATTTGACCGTGACGTAACCAACGTTTATTTTTCTAAATTTACTCCTTAAAAATGGAATTTAGAATTAAGTTATAAGGAATGACAGTACTATTTTTTTTCTGTCTATTCGAAATGCTTAAAAAAATGTTGTGTACACTTTCAAAGAAAGTCGCTACGCGGGGTTACAATTCACAAACTCACTTTTGACATTACAGCATACAGTAAATGAATAACTCAGACCACTCGACCACCAAGGCATCGAATATCATTTGATGAATTCGAAGTATTATTTAAAAATGTTTCTCGTGATGGTATTTGTTTTATTATTAAAAAATACCAGAAAGTAAAATGTTATATAATAAATCAAGTTTAATTCAGTGTATCAAATAAAACAAATTAAATTATAAACTTTCAAACGGTTAGGAGAGACAAGGGTTGAAGTTGGAAAATTGAAATCAAACAAAGCAACCAGCATCACACAAAAGATAAATGGACAAATAAACAAAAGTTAACAAAACCACACTGTCAACCTTTGTTAGCAAAACAGACACGCATGACAGCTAAATTATTATGACAATTTCGGATAAATATTTATTATTTGTCTATCAACTCACTCTATCTGTCCATCTTTTATTTCATTTTGTTCTTCGTTATGTTTGATTGTGCTTTTAATTAAAAGAATTATATTGATTTAACAACACCGTCAAATGGGATGTTCAAGTTGTGCCAAAAACAAAAAAACAATTTTTTTCTTATATTTGAAATGCACGGTGTTTCATTATCATGAGTTGAACATTATTAGCAATGATACTGATTTAACAAATACATTCGAGCAGCGTCGGATAGAAATCGACCTTATGCAAATGAATATCAACACATCTGTTCACCTATAGCTATTTCGTGCTAAAAAAAATTAAGTAAAATCTGTGAAAACTGAGTTGACATAATAACCCTATAAAACAAACCAAATTCATGTTTTATTTTGATTTTGAATGCAAAATCAATCAAATTCTGATACAAGTTCACGTATGCCGACTCAGCTCGTTTTATTTAATTTGAGTTAATAAATGATGCATAACACATTGTACGTGATTATGATACGTTAGCCTGAAAAGAAATGAAAAAGTTATAAGTGGCTTGTTAACATGGATAAGGATCTTCCAAATTATTAGATCTGTAGAGTTTCAAAGCATTAAACAATTTAGTTTAAATGAAGTTTTTAAAAATTGATCGATTTCAATCAGTGAATTTCTGTGGGTGGTATGTAACAACGTATTGGATATAATGTGTAAAGATCGTTTAGGTACCTTTTATCGGCAATTTGTACATTTTCCCTTTGATCTTAAAGCCAAATAACTTTAAGATCATGGACAGGACTTGAGACTTGAAGATATTAGGCAATGACGTCATGTATCAGTGCAGATATGGCACGTGCTCAATTCCACTTGCGTCAAATTTATCAATGAAAAATGCCAGCGACTTCATTCACACAACCGAAAAACTATTCAAATGATTGTTCGCGTGAAGATTTGATTATTAGTTCATTTTACCTCATACCCCCTCCCCCAAAAAAAAACAACAAAAAAAAAACAACAAAAAAACAACAAAAAAAAAAAACAAAAAAAAAAACAAAAAAAAAAAAAACAAAAAAAACCACACAGTTCGACAATGCAAATTCCCGATAAAAAGAATAATAACATTTTTTTTTAATGACTTCATCAGCTCGAACATCATATTGCCCTTGCGAGCTGGCTTGATATTCTTATAAGTTAAGTCAGTATCAAAATAAAATAATGCCATTATTCTATATTTATCACCCTGCTACAACGTGTAGGTTAGAGATTTCAGAGGAGACGCATGAGCACATCCGTGCACATTCATCAAGCCCTGTAAGTGTCCATAAAACAAACCATTCGGAGTTGCTGCTAGAAAATGTAACACCCGTATCTATAAGCCGTGGTGTTGTTCTTTCAATAACTTTTTCTTTTTCATTCGTAGTGATTGGATATCCACGTCTTTCTATCAAATAAACACCCGATTTAAAGTCCAAATATTCAGACTCAATACGACTTAGATAAGGTTGTTCGGTTTTGATCTCTATTTCATCTTCCTGTATAAGATCAAACACAGAAGAAGCTATAGATTTGGATATTCTGCCTACATTGTGAATTATTACAATAGAGTTGACCTTAACCTCTTTTACTAAATAGTGATAATAAATTTCAAGGGAGGGTTTGTCAACAGCAATATGAGAACAGGGACCAACTCGTTTCTTATACGTCCATAAATCTGGTATTTTTCGTGAATCATTTGGCAAAATCTGAAACGTAAATAATGCAGCTATTTCAGTATTTGATTTGAAAAAAAGCAACGTCAAATTCCAAAATGATGATGGCAACTACTTTTCGAAATATGTGACGGTTTACTAATATTTTTTCTAAAATTCGTATAAATTATGATATTTCTTTTTTTTTTTTATAATAAACCATTCGAAGTACATATAAACTTTTTTTGTGCACTTCTTCGCAATTGATTCTTTAATTCAATTGCCAGATTGACAACAGGAAACCGCATATGGGAAGTTGCATTAGCATTGCCTTTTACTATTAAAGAAAGCAAAGAAAATAGAACATAAAAAAGCATCACCGACAATCACGTAAACAAGAAAAGAAATATTATTAAAGACATGATTTCTGTTCGTTTGTCCAATAAAATGTGGATAGGAAAATTATAAATTATGATCATCTTGAACAAAGTAAAACACGTATGACATAAAATGAAATGTTAGAAAATTTATTATCATAATTTTACAAGCTATGATGATAGCAAAATTTTACTTACCATTTTTGTTAGAATTTATTAAAGTGCTTTCTATTCAAAATCATTAGATAACCCGACTTTGCATGGGCGTTTTTCCAGTTCTTTTCCGAAAAAAATCGGTTACAATGAGAATAAAGCAATATTATATTTTGCTTTTATATATCTTTATTAAAATTCAACCTTGGAATTTTGAAATCATGTGATTTCATCAAGTTTATCTCTGAATATCTGTGTCTAAAATTATGTAATCTCGAAACCGAAAACCGTCCTATTTCCGTGATAATGACTTCACCGACTTATCATAGGATTAATACTTTTATAAGAAACAATGGAAAAGTGTATTACAGTAATCATAAAGTCTTTACATTGACAAGGTTCAATATACCATTTGTAAATGAATAAACCTGAACAATAAATGATCAATTCTTCATTTCCATTCTTTCAGTAAATTTGGTACTTATTCACAACGGGGAATTCAGTACTGTTCATACAATTCGCTTACAGTCAATTCGGCACTGTTCAGTTGTTTTTCAGATAGTCCAGTATGTTGTAAATGTGTAAAGGAAAATACCAATTACTGAATAATCTAAACATAAACTTATCTGATCTTAATTCACAGCAAGCGATATTTTTTTAACAGTACCGTACTTAACGCAGTGGATAAGTGAAGATAATATCTTTAAGACTAAAAGGAATGGAATAATTTAAATTTAGTCTATATTCTTATTGTGTTATTGTATCATCATTTTTTTATGTTCTTGTCTTTCCTTTTTGATTATGTGCTTTGTCTAAATGTATAAGCAATTTTATTTTTTTTATTTTTTTTGTTTGTTGACATTTTTGTTTGCTTTATAGTGATTGAGATTATAACACAATGTGGACTGCTGTACCCCCCATTTATGATAATTTTACATATCACATGTACATTAATTATGTCTGTTTGTTTTGTCCACACATTGTTGTTATTTTAATGGAATGTTATGCGACTGTCATACAGTTGAATGGTTTCGGCTTATCATTATTAATGGCTTATTCCACCATTTTCTATATAAGGAATGCCTTTTCCAAGTCAGTTGTTTTTCATTCGTTTGATGAGTTTGGTATTTTGGTTTTGCAATTTGATAAGGGACTTTCCGTTTTGAATTTTTCTAAGAGCTCCTTTTTTCTTTTTTTCTTTTTAAGGATAACATTTTGGCTTAAAAACGTTTAAAAGAACACATGTTGCATTTGTGTTGATTTTGGTTTTACCGAACCATGTACATTTTTTCTTAAATGTATCTGCGTATGTATCTGGCAAGAAGTTTATACAAATTAACGGACGACAACCTTCTCAGCAACATACATATACCGGCAGTAAAATCCTTGCCAAACTGAAATGTCCTTTAGGTTGTGCGGGATGTAGAAGTATACTGCCACGTATGGTCAGAATTGGGACGTTAAATCCGATGATTCTAGTTATTAGAGTAAAAGAGACTCCTTGGGTGGTGTGTGTAGGTTGCCTGTTGCAAGGCATATTTCTCTCCCTATCCAATATAACCTTTTTCCAGTGGCATTCAAAATTTTCCCAATTTTTACTCCGACGTTTTCTATTACAGGTCTTACCTATAGTTGCTAACTCTTATGTTATTTGGTCTCTGGTGGAAAATTGTTTTATAAGCAATAATAGTACATCTTCTTAATTTTTATATATTTATGAATCAGTAATTCCATCTGGATTGTCCTACCTGGTCCTGTAATAGATAAGTACACCGCATGGATTTTAGTCATTTCGAGTATTAAATATTTTATATAACTTGCATTTCTAAGAGACTTTTCTATTGAT